TACCCATGGTCATTTGGGGGCCCGAAGGAAGTATTCATCAAGGTGCCTAAAAAGGGGTAAGCTTACTCGCCCCCAAAAAAGCCCTTGTCAGTTTTGCACATGATCTTTGTTGCTTGCTTGCTTGCTTGCTTGCTTGCCTGCCTGCTTGCTTGCTTGCATGCATGATCATGCATGTTTGTTTGGTTGCCTATTGCAGGTTGGCAATCAAACAATCGCCAAGGGTGCGATTTCGGGAACTCGCCAGTTAGCCGCTGCCTGACTATTGATCAACCATGCGCACTCGTTGACTTTAAAGAGAGACCTTCTCCGAAAAATAGATGTGACCCGCAGCTGTGGACAAACACATGAATCCCCTGAGTTGTTTCAGGGAAACAAAGCGGGCTTATCCTGCTCCTAAGTATAGACATCTGGTTTGCCTGACTAAACCATGTGCTTCTGACTACCACTAGAGTCGGGTGAGTCGCCGCTGATCAATGCCAACTTCCCCAAGTGGGCTTCAGCGAAGACTAAAGACGAAAGCACGCAATCCAAAAGTAAAACTTGGCAGCCAATTGGCATCCGCAGGGCTGGGTTGTTAGAACCTGGAAGCAACTGACAAGCCTTCAGGCATTCGGGTTTGGTGGTTGCATCCCGCAGAACTCTGTGTAGAACATGCTACAGGATGTGTGTTTCAGCTTCACTCTATTCTGACAATATGTTTGGTCATGATTATTCACATGTAACATTGAATCAACGTCAGCATGTCTCGTGTACGTGCATATATATAGAAATATATGTATACATACATAATCAATACATATATATATATATATATATAGTATATATATATATACACATGTACATCTACATTTAAACAAAAGAAGACGAAACAGGTATAGACGCGCATGGTCAAGACATATAATATGCACCTCCCCACTCCATCCCAAAGACCATCCCTTCCACCCCTTTTCCCTGGGTCCCTGGCTCCAACAAAGGCGCGGAGTCCGCGTGGGCCGCCAAACCCTCCAGCAGCACCTGACGAGGCGCTCCCTTTTTGACCAACAAAAGGTACCGCTCAACAATACCCCCCCAAACCCCCAACAAGGCTTAGGCCCCCCCCCCACACACTGAGAAAGAATGGTCTCTTCATATCGTTTCTTGGTTGCTTTCTGCTCCCCTGCTAAAAGTGACTAACTTTGAGTGGTTTAATAAAGAAAACCCATTAGTTGGCAAAAAGGTAAAGTCCTAACATGCAAGCAAAATGCACCAAAGATAAGACACAGTTGGGTGCTTTGGGTGCTCAAAGCAAAGACGCATCTGGGTGTTTTGGGTCTTTCCTCAGATCTTCGATGTCTCCCCGTAGGATTCAAATCTTTGCAGAAAGAAGGTAAAGGGCCAAGATGTGGCAGTGCGTCAAAGATAGGTACCCAAAATGAAACCATGGTAAATGGAGCCAAGGACCAAAACTTGCGCTGTTCTGGTGGTTTAATTTTGACCCACGGCCATGTAAGAATGGTGCTAAATGTTGACCCAGAGATAGCGTGCCCAGGAGCATGGAGCAACCGGGGCCTAGGAGCGCCCAGCCCATGGGATCGGCAAGATGAGACGAGCGAAGTCATTAGGATGAGTTTTGTCTCTTCTTTCGCACGCAAAAAACCTTGCGGAAGACGCGTGGATCAAAGTTGAAAAATCTCGGGGACGATTCGCTTTGGACGAGCGAGTCATTGTGTTGTTCAACATCTCGCAGAACGAGTCACCAGTGTCTGGTCAAAGGGGGTGCGGTTCCGAAGATGTTTCAAGCAGCAGGTGGCTTCCAGGTAGCCTAGTAAGTTTGTGAAAAACATAGACGCATATGCGCCATGGTCAGGGCTCCCCGTGCGGACCATGGTGGTTCCCTTGATAGGCACCCGTACAATGGTTTACATTCCCTTCCGTCTTTGGGGCCGCTTGGTGTTAGAAGGAGGCACCAAATGCCGACCTCCAGTCAATGGAGATCAAACCTTTCGTTCCTGCTGGGGGGAAATGTCCAACGAAAGCTGCGGCAAAAAAAAAGGCAACTCACTGAATGCGCCAAGGGGGGACATGTCCAACAAAAGTTGCACAAAACCCACTGAACCCACAAATTGCCAAAGAAAAACCCACTGAACCCACAAATTGCCAAAGAAAAACCCACTGAACCCACAAAGTGCCAAAGAAAAACCCACTGAACCCACAAAGTGCCAAAGAAAAACCCACTGAACCCACAAAGTGCCAAAGAAAAACCCACTGAACCCACAAAGTGCCAAAGAAAAACCCACTGAACCCTGCCAAAGAAAAACCCACTGAACCCACAAAGTGCCAAAGAAAAACCCACTGAACCCACAAAGTGCCAAAGAAAAACCCACTGAACCCACAAAGTGCCAAAGAAAAACCCACTGAACCCACAAAGTGCCAAAGAAAAACCCACTGAACCCACAAAGTGAAAAACCCACTGAACCCACAAAGTGCCAAAGAAAAACCCACTGAACCCACAAAGTGCCAAAGAAAAACCCACTGAACCCACAAAGTGCCAAAGAAAAACCCACTGAACCCACAAAGTGCCAAACAAAAAACCCGCTGAACGCCGCAACGTGGCACCCCACTGCCCCACTGAAACAAATCGAGCCATCGGTCACTCGTCTCGCCTGAGAGGCCGCGCCCTGCAGGCCCATGGATCGGAAGTCCTCTCGCGTGTTTTTGTTTTCTTCCTTGGACTCGTTTTGAAGAGAGTGGCGGGAGAACTTAGCATAACTATAGCTGTATATATATATATATGTGCGGGTATAATATATATATATATATATATATATATATGTGCGGGTATACCACAAAAGTATGTGTGTATAATATGTGCAATATATCTTGTTCGTTCTACATAACATGTGTATGTTTGTATGTATGAATGTGGTGTGGTGTGGTGTGGTGTGGTGTAGTGTAGTGGGGTGTGGTGCGGTGTAGTGTAGTGTAATGCAACGTAACATAACGAAATGTAACGTGGTGTACGTTATCGTATGTTCAGTTGCGTCATGTATTGAAACGCAATGTAACGTAATGCAATGAAACGGCTGTATGTATAGATCTGTGTGTCTGTCTGTGTGTCTGTCTGTCTCTATCTCTGTCTCTGTCTCTTGCTCTGCTTCTGTCTCTCAGTCTCTGTCTCTGGCTCTGCTTCTGTCTCTCTGTCTTTGTCTCTGGCTCCGCTTCTGTCTCTCTGTCTCTATCTCTGTATCTATGTACGTGGTAAACTATAGCCTGCTCCGCATGTCTATCACGCCAGCAACGGACACCTTTTGCCGATTGGCCCAGATAACGGCGCTGGCACGTGTCCACCGCAACGAAGCTCCAGGGCGCTCGGGACTCGCATCTCAAGCCGAAACAAATCTTTAACACCTCTCCTGGTTGAACCTTCCTACGTCTCGAAACTTATCACCTCTCTTGCAAGAAGCAAACGTGAACAACCAACAAGTGATGTGGGCAAACCCATCAAATGACCTAAACTGTAAATATCTGGACCAACCACTTCTTTCAGCAGTGCTCTTCTCGGACACACCCACCGAATTTGGAGGGGTTTCCGCGAAGAAAAAACCGCCGTCCTCGTATGCTTCGGCATAGTACGTCTCCGTGCCGGACGCCATGGGTCCGAGGTCGTCTTAGCTCATTCTAGCTGCGTTTCTGGCGGGAGTACCCAGCTGTTGCCACAGAAAATGATTGGCTCTGGTCCATATAGTTGTAGCGAACCTCAAACTGTAGCTCACTTTCGCCAAATATTGTGAGGTGTCCTTTTGATCATTCAAAGTGTCAGGCTTCCACCAAATGTTTCAACTTTGAGAGTGCTACTTTCCTAGACTTTTCCCCGTTGCTCCTTTCCGAGTCCCCGAAAAATCGGCGGCATGGACACGTACGGGAGGGCATGTGATAAACCCCGGGAAAAAAAAGAAGGAATTCCTCCCAACCCCGAAAAGGTGCAGGAAGCTTCTTTATGGTAGGGCCCCTTATTTTGAGGACCTTTTCACGCCTTCTAAGGGAGCCGAACGGCTGCGTTGGCGAAAGATCTGGTCGAGGTCCGCAGTTCGATGGCTTGTGCCGTTAAGAAATTCGATGCACGTCTCGGGACCTTCATCAAATCCAATCACAAGGGAACCAAAAGCGAAGCATAGGGGTGGCACCATGTATCTTCAAACTCTACAAGAGGTCTGCAAGTAACTGCACCTGATGTTTAGCAATTCGGAGGAAAAAGAGGTGGCAAATTCTACCACTCTTTCTAAAACCTGAAACCAGAATTGGCTCTTTGAAGTAGGAGTAATGTATCAGCTTCCCTCCAAGCCCGGTGGAGTTCCGGGGTGGGAGGTCCCGGGGTGGGAGGTCCCATTTCCCGCAAAAGCGAATCAGAGGTCCGGAAGCCCCAAACCGATCCGAGGCTCCAACTTCTTCGGAGCTTGGGGGCAAACGGGCTCAATGGATAAGGCACCCATTGATCAAACGATGGAACTGGACACTGATGGAACGCCAGAAACACTCCCATGGGCGTGTCTTTTTGTGGAGTTGGTACCCCGTTTAGGGAAACCAACAGGACAACCCAGGCATTTTTGAGGGGGGTTCCCCTAAGAAGAGGCACACGCCTTTGTTTTGTTTCATGGGCATCGATGGAAGGCCGTCCTCAGGGCATTCGGAACATGAATGATGCCAAGAAAATTAATTGCGCCACGTGGCGCATATGCATGGTCCATGTTTAACCAAAGCATCCATAGCAAAGGCTTGCAATGATGAGAAACCAAGAGTGACCCGCCGGTCGGCGTGTTGCGAGTGGATGATTCCGTTATATAGGTTGAAGCTTGTCGAGATGTCGAGTCGGCAGTTTCCGCCAATCAGAGCTGTCTGAGTCCAGCGAGTTCCGGAAAATGATTGTTGAGTTCTAGGGGCTGCTCAGTTTACAGGGGATTCGGCCGCAGAAAACAAAAAGAAACTTCTATGAATCCGTACTGGCCGAGCACGAATAAGTGTCCTGCTATACTGTAGATGTGTCAACAGAAACCCCGGCTTTCCTTTGAGCCACCAATATTGCTGTGTTTCCAAGGGCTGGAGGGGAGTCCGGGTTTCCAGGTTTCCACGACCCATTCTTGTCGAAACGACTGCAAATGTTCGTTTGTGCCAACAAGGGCCGTAACATCCCAAGGAGGTCAACACAAGGGAGCTGATGGCTTGCATCGAAGAAAACAGGTTCTACCCGTACGAAACCAGGGGGAAAGTGGGGAAATCCTCCCGAAACCACGCATCGAAAGGAATTTGGCGAAATTTGGTTCCTTGCATGCAAGGACCACCAGACCACCACACTCACTCCAAGACTGTGCAACCATTCTGCCTCCAAGGGAAGCGAAGGGGCCATTTGGTCAAGCACCTATAGCCTCTATAAGAGCAAGTTAAAAAGGTGTTCCTTTTTGGCGGGGGTAAACTACAATGATTCGCGCAAGGCGCATTCCCCACGGAGCAACTGTAAGATATCTGCCCAGATGCAGATTCTGATTGAACACTTGGGCAGCTCCAATGGGTCAAGTTGGCTATCAACCCTGCTGAGTACATCTGGCGCTTGTGGGTTGCTCAAGAGAACATGGGACTCCTTTGCCCTACTTCCCCAGACCCCCCAGAGACAATGGGCAAAATGACACCCTTCGTTCGGCGGTTGTTTACGGAAAACCCTCTCCAGAAACGGGAGGAAAACGAGTCAACGCTGGGTGTCTGAGCCTTTGCTTGAACTCAGGTCACAAAACCTCCACTTGCAAGAGTCCCTGGAAAACACATATTTCCAGTAGCCGTACTAGGTCCTCCAGTAGAGAGGTTGGAATAAGGGTACCCAATTGTTTCTGTCTATTTTAGTAGGGGAACCCTCCCAACCAAAAAAGGGTAAAAGTAAGGGCACCTAAGCTGGGGGACCTAGCAGTAGTGGTAGATTCCCTGTAAACCCCACTCCCCGTAAAAACCAACGGAGGAAAGACTTCCGAGAATGGCGCGCCCTCCATTGCTGATCCCTGCCTCCACTTCGATGGTGTTGCCTCGGAGTTCCCGAATTTTAAGCCGTCTGCAAGGTCGGGGCCCAAGGAGCCGCACGGGTTGCCCATGGAGAAAAACTCCGAGTTGAGTCACAATAAAAACCGGGAATTAAAATGGTCTACCCAAAACCATGTAAAGAATTAAGAAGGCGGCCGCAACTAGTTCTGGCTGGGACTGCCCCTTACTAACCTTCATCTACCCGGGTTTTGCTTGTGGCTCAGTTGATCGCTGCTGAAAAACAAAAGGCATGCGGCATGTCCCATTTGAGGGGGGAGCCGGAATCCAGATCGCGAGATCCTCCATCTGGCAGTGGCCTGCAACCGGCAAATGTCCTAAAATGGGTCCGGAAATGATGACCATTACCCCCCTGAAAGATCCAGAAAAGCGCGTCATAGCTGAAGTGCACATTAAATGCACTGGCGTGCGAAGACTTGGCACCCGCTTTCGGCATTGACCAACCCGCATTGAGCCACTTCTCCGTTCTTTTGTTCTCCCCCTTAAAAAAACAAACTGACAAGGTCATTCTGAAGGCAAGCCTTGGGCATCCACCTTCCCGCTTGATTGCTCACGGACGCGGATAGGACGCGATTGAACTTGTCAGCAACTCAAAAGCCCGCCGTGCAGAAACGGCACGGGCGCAACGCAAAGCTGACCTGTAAACTGGCGGGCATTGGAAGGATCCATGTTTCAGGACCCTCAAAGCGATCCCGACAAACAGGACACAGAAAAAAAAAACACATAGTCATACTAAGGCATCAGTTCACCCGTTGCTCCAGCAGCAGGCTACACCACACGATCTTCAGATTCGGGGTAGCTGGCCAACCTCAAAATATAAGATCTGGACCATATGCCTATGTCTCAATGCCCAAAAAATGCGGGGTTGTCCTGTTGATTTCCATTTTTACCCCGTGCCAGCACCCTGAAACACCCTAATCCGTAGGGACCCATCTTCCGACCCAGGACCCGCGGGGCCCGAGGTTCGGGGCCCTGGCATCACCGGGTCGGAGCCGACACTCACCTCGTGAAACGAGTTTCATTGCTTGGTATGAATTCCAAGTGCTCGGTAAGTTTTTGCGCAAACAGGGAAAGATCTTTCCAAAAAGACATTCCGATCCTACAAATGGACGGTCCTTGGGGTTTATGCTAATCTGCAGAGTGGTTGACCCAGTAGTTCGCATCATTCGGAGGATACTGTGCCCCACCATTTTTTGCGGGGCCGGGGGGGGGTGCCCCAGTAATCATAGCATACCCCTGCGTTTTGATTCAATGCCTCTGAGCCCAAAAGATGGTTGCCACAGATTCCAGGAGGCTAAACAAAAGCATACTTTGCCTGCGTTGTATACAATTATACCACATAGAGTATACATACGTCGATAGTTTAGTATGTGTGTGTGTGTGTGTCTATTTTCTTTAGAATGTATTGGATTCGAAGCCGGCTGCTGTAGGTTGCTGAAGTTCCACTGTTTTGGATTCTCCTTGCTTCTCGGCTTACAAAATGGGAATGCGCCGTACGGGTGGCGGGCTTCAAAATCCGTCAGAAACCCTGAGAGATGTGGATCATTTCAACCTGAAACGAGGTAAAGCTGCCGCGTGTATTTCCTCTCTGTGCAATGCGAACCAACCGGTACACTCACGAAAACAAGTCTATGGCGCCCTTGCAAGATCAAGTGGCCATCCCTTTGTAATTGCTCAAATGCGAGCTGGAGAAAAACAACAAACCGTTCCTGGGCTGCCCGCAGGTCCCCCGCTAAAAGTTTAACCTGTGGTGGGTTAAATGGAAACTACCGCTAAACACTAAAAACCTGAAAGGCTAAGGAACCGGATGGCTGGGAGTCGCCAAGGTTTCTCGGGGACGCCTGACTCTAGGACTAGCCCCTCGATGTGTAAAAAAGAAAAAAACGGCGCCTGGGGTCCTGATGTCTGCCTCGCTGACCTGCGAGCCGTTTGGTCTTACATAGGGGTGAATGGGGTCAAGGGGACGGCCAAACAAAGGGTTTGCGTTTTTGGCGACATGCTCCAAGTTGCTGGGCCTCAGGTTTCCCTTTAAAATCAACATTCCGGTTTCAGAAGAAATAATTCCTTAAAGGGGAAACCTCGATTGGAGGACCTATCGCAAAGCACTTCCCTTTTGGGCACATGTGCTTCAGCGGCTGGGAGCATACCCGCTGGCCTGGAAAGAAACATGAGGAGTATGCCATGCCCAAACAGTACACGAACAAGTGCTCCTGAGCCATCAAAAGCGATTCCTGTCGTCCGCCCAAAAGGCTGTTGCCTGCACAAGCGCACATTTGCTTGAAATGAGATGTTGCACTGGAAACATGTCTGGATTCCACCCCTAAAAGCAGCGTGATTGACAACGATAAGGATTGTCAGGACTGTTCTCTCAATGTAGTACATGTACTGAACATGATGTTTTATGACCGCACGTTGCTTGAAACCCCATCTGGGCTAAGGTCCAAGCACCCCTGACGACCAATCTCTCCGGGGGGTTCCCAGCTGAGAAAGGAAAGCCTCGTTCCCTTCCGGCAGCGCGAAGAAATCAGATTCTCAAAATGGAACCAGACGCAACCATTTGGGCAGGTCAAAATCAGGTGACCCTAAGAAAGGTCTGGAAAAGAAAAAACACCCAT